CTTTTTAAATTGGGATAAAAAGTGGGGGGGGGGAACCAGCCTTTCAATGAACATTTCCAATAGTTTTTGTGAAGGGGCCCTTGGTTTTGATTTGCACCGTCTTTAACTCTGAAATCATGAATTTTGGTGGGATCAAATGTTCGTGGTTTGAGGAAAAGATTTATGGGCTCGAGGGTCTCATGAATGAACAAGGATTGAGTTGTTCTAAATATATTTTACTTTTCATGCTTGACAGGAGTTCCTGGGTCTCTTCAAAGTTTGAAAATAAATGTTCCACGAATATTAGTGACTTCATGTTGTATCAATTAAAAAACTGAAAAAAAGGTGCGGGGGACCACACTTGATCCATGTGTGCAAGTAACCCATCCTCTAATACTTAACAGGCCCGTGGGACGCAGTTTCAGTGAGAGTCGGGGCCATTGCATTTTACGTAGGTACTTAAAATGTCATCAAGCAAGATATTTGGCGAACATTTAAAAAGTAACTTTTTTAATATAATAATATGTATCTGCAATATTATTATACGCCTTTAATCTTGCTTTCATCCATACCTAGTCAAAAATTACAATGGAGATACAGCGTATTTACACGAGTGATCTGCGCAGGAATAGGGGTCACTTTTTAATTAAAAAACACGTCCATTTCTAGGTAACATAAAAATGATGACGATTCATTTTAATGAGTTCGTAAAAAAATCATAGACTCATCTGATCCTTGAAAAATGATCATACGGTAAAATTATTTGCAACTATTCAGAGATGGAATTCATCACAAGGCGTATGATAACGATTCCTTGGCTTCTTGATTAACTCCCTTTGATAAAAGTCGAGTCAATAAATTGACCTACCTTAATTGGCTCAGGTGAGCTAGAAATTTAGAAACCAATTAGGCTCGAAATCCAGACTAGAAGTAATAACAGTAAAGTGGGAAAAAATAACGAAGATTCCTAAGTAATATAGCACCTTGTGAATTACCTGCATAATAAATGCGCACTTTAGGTCGGGTATGAATGACTCTGTTGTTGAAATTTTTTTCCATTGAGAAAATAGAGTTCTATACCAGGAAGTTAAAATCTCTATACCTGGAATATTACCGCACCAGTATGGGAAACCGCCGCATTAGTTCAGGTCCGAAATCTGCATTATTAATCTGTGAAACAAAAACAATGAGGAAATGTGCAAATTACATAGGAAAATATCTAACAGTGTTTTTATTCTCTTGAAATTATAGCCTTGGAAATATCACATGGCAAAGAGATGATAAATGCATACGTAAGTTTTTGAATATGCTCATACTTAATAAATCATGCAAAACATTTAAATCTCATAACTGACATATTCTGTAAAGATGCCTCGAAAATCGATTTTGTAGCATTGCAATTTTTCTTACCCCAGAAGACTTTTTTTAATTGAAAAAAAAGAAAAGTATATCGAATTCTAATCGCTTTATTTTCAGATTTTATATTTTCCCCTGAAAATTCTTAGATTATCTTATTTTTTAAATATTTTTTTTTAACTTGAGAAACTTGTGCATTTATTAAATTCATCAATATTTCGACTCAGCCTGTCACGCATTTTATCTTATCTTGTGACCTCTCAGTTCACTCAGTTCAATTCCATGTGGAAGACATATTTCTGTTCATAATCAGCTTAAGCGGCAAAAATGTATGCCTCTCGGATTTTTTTTTTTTTTTTTTTTTTTTTGAGAATTGCAAAAAGGAGATGGCGTTATACGAAAGCCCAATGAGCTCATTTTCGTAGGAAAGAAAAATTAAAGTTTCGCGTTAACGCGAAACTTTAGCGAATAAACGCGAAACTTTCGCGTTATAACGCGAGACCTTTGCTGTTTAACCAGACATTTGCTTTAGTCTCAACGTTGTTCTGATTTTGTCATCAATTTTATTCATTACAATGATAAGCAAAAGGCTATTTTGATCTTGGACTATCACAAGTTAAATTTTAAGCATTCTTGCTATTGAATCCATCTTTACCGTCACAATTTGTCTTTCTCAACGCTGTTCAAACAATTCAAAGTTTATGCGAATTTCCAAAAGTTAAACTTCAAGATTATTAATTTCGGGGAAAATCACCCCTTTCCGGTTTTTTTATGCACTCTCTAGAGAATTTGAAATAATCTTATTTTATAAGATCAAGATCTCAGAAAATTGACAAAATGAGGTAAATTTTTCAATTGTGTCCCACCGCATTTGTGAAAATTGGATAGCAGATTTTCATCTGTCTCCGTTGGATTCACTGTGGAAATTCGATATCCTATTTTGAGGTTGCACCACGTTGTCATTCCATTGCTTACGAAAACATTGACAATTCAAAGTGTACAAACTCTGCTGTATACCTTCATAGTTTTTATTTATGGCTAGTCCACGAACTTCTCTATAACCCAATATAAAAATATTGGAGACAATGAAATTATACATTGTTCATTCACTTTTAAGTTATGTTTCTACAGTGTATAATTTTTGTCCAAAATGATTGATTGCTTAATTTACTAGTGGTAAAGTTTTAGTAAATGTTACTGATTAAAAAACAGCTAGAAAAAAATGTCAAGTGGAGATTTTCCTTAAGAAATAATCAGCCTAAAGAATTTAACAATTGAAAAACATGTACAAGAAAGTAAAATTCATTTTATTAATTCAATAGTAAGGTTTTAAAATAAAATTAATATTCTGATGACTAATCAGACGCGAAAGCGTTTATTCGCGAAAGTTACGCGTTATAGCGCGAAAGTTACGCGTTAATTCGCGAAAGTTACGCGTTATATCGCGAAAGTTTCGCGTTAATTCGCGAAAGTTACGCGTTTATTCGCGAAAGTTTCGCGTTATAACGCGAACAAAAAATATTTTTCTTACCTACGAAAATGAGCTCATTGGGCTTTCGTAGCGTTATTATTACAGTAAAACGTTACTTATTTTCCCATGTTTTTAAATGATACGAAGTTTAATTTTTATTTTTTTATTTTAGATTCCACCGCTATTAATTCTCGGTACTGTGTTTGTGGATCTTTCCATGTCTCAATGCTCCGACCCAATCAGAGCAAAAGTTAAAGGATATCGAAGAAAGATGACTATTCTAGGATCTTGTAATGAAAATCTGGACACGTCTTTCTACATGATACCCGGTATAAACATCCCTGACAACTGTAGCAAGTGTGAAAACTTATCGGATACTAAAGTTCATTATCTCTATGGCGATAAGACCTGTTCTCTGACTCCTCCAAATGACGGACGGAGCACGGAAAGTTGTCCCCATCATGTTCAGATAAACTACGATAAGTATAGAATACCTCGATCCATAGCTCAAGTCAAGTGTAACTGTGATAATTGTATCACGAAACATTACGATAATACGTTAAAATTGCATCCTGACGGAGTGTGTCAAGAAGTGATGATGTATCGTCAGGTTCTTAGAGAGTGTAAACCTGAGAAACCCGAAAAAGACCGCAGAAGACGAGGGAAACGAAAACGAAGAGGAAGAAGAAGAAATAAAGTGTATACAGTAGTTTATGAACAATACCCGGTGGCCTGTACGTGTAGATTGACACATACTAAAGACTGGGGATGAGCAGCTAAATCAAAGCATTAATTAAGGAGTTTTGTCTCAAACAAATACCTCAAGATTTTAAACTTGTTGTTTTTGGATTTTATATACAGTTTATTCGTGTGTTGCCTGTTAAAGTTGTTTTTGATATAAATATATATATTTTTACATTTTCATTATTATAATGAGTAAACTTTGAAGTAGTTGATGGCTTTAATGCAACATATTTTATATATAGAATCAGGCACGTAGCATCGTTTTTGAAAGGGGGGGGGGGGGCAGCCAGAGAATTATTTTTTTAATTGCCTGTAAAAGTTGACAAGCAAAAGAGGGGGGGGGGGGGTCGTGGCCAATTTGTTTCAATGCCAACTTTCTTTCACTTCCATTTTTTATATACAATACTACATTTCCTTGATATCACTTTAATGTGGTAAAAATGGGGGGGGGGGGGGGCAACTAACCTTTCAATGAACATTTTAAATAGTAAAGGTAATGTTGGGAAAAGGGGGGCAGCCCTCTCTTTTCATCGTACTCTAATCAATATTGACGTGTATGTCAAAAATATTTTAAAGACTATTTTATTATTTTTCTATTGAATATAAAAACTTTCAAACAATTCATAATTTAATTATTTCAATAATTATTTAATACATTAAATCAGCCTAATGGACGAGATATAATATTTTGCTTCTTTGCACATATGTGTCACTAAAAAAATAACATTTGCTTCAGGAGGCCATTGCATTTTGAAATACATATCTAAAGGGGTTAGATGAAGTTTTTCACTCAATATTGCTCAGACTTGTACAGTTTTTGGCTCATCTGAGCTGAAAGCTAAAGTGAGCTTTTCGGATCACATGTTGTCCGTATGTCTGTCACTCTGTGTTTCTGTCTGTCTGTAAACTTTTCACATTTTCAACTTCTTCTCAAGAACCACTGGGCCAGTTTTAACCACACTTGGTACAGCGCATCCATGGGTGAAGGGAGTTTAAATTGTAATCAAAGTACTCAGAAGTACAGAGAGCCGGGCTCATTTACAGAGTAGAATGGATTTCTTACATGAATCACGTTTATATTCTGATGAAAAAAAAAATATTTTAAAACTATCAGATAAATGATAAGACACTGACAGTGAGTTTTTCAATCTCATATGATGGTCCCATTTTGTCAGAATCAGAATTAATCTGGTACCGCAGCTGAATGTAAACAAACAGGCCAGTCTGGTTCCCTCTCCTGCTTTACCTCGTATGTGTAGAGAACTACGGTAACACTGATTATCAAAAATCCTTACGCTAATGAACTATGTTCTTTGACTTATGAAGTTTTCAAAGTCATTACTACTAATGTTTATTTTATATATATATAACTTCGTTTTATTTTTGTTGCTTTATTTAGCGTTTGTATTATCTCAAAAAGCGGTTGAAAGTAAGAACTATATTTTTGCACGTAACTTTAAAATGGCGACTATGGGGTCAACATCCTGCCTTGAACAGGATCACATAAGCCGGCAATTGCTCTTTGAGCAATAAGCCCGGCTAAAAATGAAGGGCTAAGATTCCTTGCAAGGGGAGATAATCAAGAAAAGACAAAAATAGGGTGAGGTCATAAAACATCTTCTTATCAAGAACCACTGGGCCAGAAAAGCTGAAAGCGTATATGAAAACATCCTGGAGTAGTGTACATTCTAAATCGTTTAAATCAGAACCCCCAGGGGTAGGGTGGGGCTGCAATAGAGAATCCAAGTTTTACATTGAAATAAATAGGGAAAATCATGCATTTAAATTCTTCTTCTTAAGGACAAGTGGGCTAGAAAAGGTAAAACTTATGTGGAAGCATCCTGGGGTAGTGTAGATTCTAAAATGTCAAATCTTGACCCTGTTGGTAGGTTAGGGTCACAATAGGTATTACAAGGGGGGTATCTGCTTAAGAAAAACATAGCCAAAGTTGCTAAGGTGAGCGATGTGGCCTATGGGCCTCTTAATTATTACCTTTAATTTAATTTTTTTTAATCGTTTACAGTCGTTTGGATCAAACTGACATTGAATCTTAATCTTCAATACAATAAGATTTTGGTCAAGTAAACGAGGTATCATGCCAAGATGCCATACCCATATACAGTTATTTCTATAAATATATCTGGGCTTTTGGTCAGTGTACATATGTGAATATATCGCCAACTCACCTGAAATCTACGGTATATATAGCATTTTGGTCTGACAGCGAATAGTTGTCTACAACCCATATGAAGCTTTTGGTCAGTGAACAAATCTTTATCTCGCCAAGACTTAATAGTCTAATACAGAAATCCTGATACACCTTGCAAAAAATGTATATATATTGATGGCAGTAAAGGTTAATTAATTAAACCTTTGTAAAGACTCTAGCAGTTGAGATTGTCACTTTTATTGACTTAAGTTGGCTGCTTCAAATTTATGTGGCTGTTGAGATAATTCTGGCGACTAGTCTTGCAATGTGTATACAAGGTGGGAGATAGCAAGTGACTGTTCTTAAGAGTTGTTTAAAAAAATGAAAAATCAAGGAAAAAATGAAAAAGATAAGGGGAGAAAAATCTCCTTTCTACCGGATTCTTTATACGTTTATCAAACAAAAAAAATGGCTTTTTACAGACACATAAGGAATGATACCTGATGTATCTAGGAAAAACAAAGTGTATTAGATCTATCATTTTAAAATATATTAATTAAAGAGATGATTGTAATTGTTTATAATTTAAAGACCGGTGAGTTGATAAAATTTTCATAGAATTTGTTTTGTATTTCTTTGTAATATATACAAACAAATGGAGATGTTGATTTCTCAATTGTTTTCAAAATGTCCGAAAATGTTATTTTAGCAATCCAGGTTATATAAATTTTCCAATATGACTGGACTGTACTTTAGAAATGTCATCCATTGGAATCCTCCATAAATGTCTGTGGAATAAGCACCTCAACTTTTTTGTTTAGGAAAAGGTTTGGAAACTTAAAACTTACAGTTGCAATCCTCCAATCGAACTTTAGGGAAAAATATATATTGATGTGCATCGCGTCGTTTGACCTTGACCTTAAAGAAAGAAAGCCTTATTTATAACCTTTGACTCCAACGACCCAATACTTCTGAGCCTTTGTTTTACCTTTTTTTGTAAAAAAAAGAGCATTTCTGTATGTAATGAACAAACATTTGCAAAAGTGTCATTATTTGAATAAGGCTATTCATGGCTATCTTGACTATAAGTTATCGGTATCACACTGTTTTTGGGTCAATACAATTAACACTTGTCGAGATAGTATTGTAACATCAAGCCGAGATGGGTTACCAAGACTTTTCGTGATAAAGTAAATTAAGTGCAAGTTGACAAATCTTGAAATATGTAATATTACTTGTTAAGTGAAATACTAAGCTAACTTGACGAGATATAATTCAAATGTGTCGATCTAGTTTGGAGGACATCAGATTTATTTCTCTTAATTCATATGCAGTCATTTATCCTGTAAACTTTAATTTAAAAAAAAAGTATTTAAAATGTGCAAGAAGTAATGAATTTCATTCACCATATGTGTGTATGAGGCTGGGCTTGTGCGTGTGTGACTTTATTGGCGACTTTTGTGTGATTTCCGACCTTCAACAGACTCATTACCAGTAAACTGAAGACATAAATTACATGTATATACAAACCAAAGTCCAGGTGAGCTAAACTTCTTAAGAGATAGTTTAAATCAATTAAGTATCATATACATAATAAGTTGATTGCAATCTATAGTCTGAAAGTCCAGGTACATGTATATTCTAATTCAGAACGTAAGAAGAGTCTTAGACTGTAATTAAGTCATGGCGGCTGCTTTATTCCAGCGTGGAAGTTGTTAACCCTACTGAGAAGATCGGCCTTTGATAAAGTTTTTAGATTTTATGAAAAGCAATAATAATTGGTTTAAGTCTCACTAGGTGCCAGCCGTTTGGATTGATTTACATTTCATGTTCTACCCCGCAAACATTATGTACATGTAGGAGCAACAGATATATCGAATTTAGGATCCAGTCGCACCTGCAAATATGACATATCTCAGCAGGTACCTGTAATAAACTATTTACGTTGTGTCAACATGTAGCTAGGACACTTAGCATTGAATGATATAGAAGTTCAGGACAAAACAGTACCTGTATAGCTGTCTGTGCATAAAGCAGTATCTCTCAGCTTTTAACAATATCTCGATTTAAATCAGATTGTAGTATGCTGATGACATTCTGAAGTATATAATTACAATTTATTTATCCCAAGATTTTCATAAATTGGGCTTTTCAGCATTTGAAATTTAGTTCGATTAAAAAAATAAATTTGATTTAAAAAATAATTTCGATTTAAGAATATATTAAAACCTTAGACTGCCCTTGTCTGTCTGATATGAGAATTAAAAATGATTTGATATTTGCCGATTTATGATTAAGGAAACCACGTTTTTATCTGTACTGACGGCAATATAAAATATTTACAAATGGTTCGTTATTAGGTCATCTGAGTCGCTCAGGTAACCAATTTCTATTTAAGGTAGGATTCTTCTCATATTTCTTGTATCATTTAAAAATTAATGAAATTTTCACAGAATCAAGAAGACAATATCAGTAAGTGATGGTACGTATCAGTAAGATTAAATTGACCATTTTATATTAGAGGCAAGGTCAGGTCAAGGTCATTATCTTTTTCCTTGACATTAAGAATAAAAAAATACTGTTATTGCCAATCATGTGATGCCTACTTCTATTTCAAAAGTTAAAAGATTGTTCTTTTTGCATAAAAAGATATTACTATATTGGGTTTATAGCATGATATTACCAAATAAACATAAATAATTTAACTAAACTGGATATTGGCTAATCCGAATTTTCTCTGTTTTTCTTAATTTTTTAGGATATATTAGCTATTTACATATCCTTCCTATTTTTAACTTTTTCTTATTTTCACATATAATAAAGTAGTTTATAAATGTACAGAATGATACAAAATCAAAAAGTTTTGATCGTTTCTGAGAGAAAAAATACTTTTAATGGATTTTTGGCTCAAATCTGCACTTTGATAGGAAGCGTTAAAAAGTTAACATGTTTATTTTGTTAAAAAATCATATTTATTTGATAT